GCCAAAACGGTCGCACGACTCAAAAATCGGCTCAAAATGGGCCAAAAATCGCACAGTGTGAGCCCGACATGGGTGAAGGGACACTTTCTTCACATGTGACAGCCTCTTTTTAAAGGGACCAAAGGGAAGTGGACAAGTGACTCAAAGGCTATTTGATGGATAATGGTGTGGACAATTCCTCGGGTATGACATCATCAATTAAACAGGTGAAAGGCCTGGACTTTATTTAAGGTGTCAATTTAACAGAACCACCCCCACCAGCACTAACACCTAACTAAATATGCATCTGTCTCATCATCTAATCTGATTTGATGAGAGACTTTTTCTATTTTTCTGTTCAGCATTCAGTGTTTTATCCTCTTTTACCCACGGTTACAGAAAATTTGTGTTTAATTTCATTTAACTTGAGTGTACTGTTGGTTTGTAGCTGTAAGTTTTTGAAACAAAGAATGAGTGAAGATTTAAGAAAAAAATATAAACTGTTCATAATGAAGAGAAAAACTGTATCCACACAATTGCCATAAGGAGATGTTACTATTTATAAGTGCTTGTACCAACCCTGTTCATGCTGTACTCATCCCTTTGCAAAGGTTTGAACTTTCTTTTCATAAATCTCAGAAAATAAGTTTTAGGTTTAGAAGCTCAAATTATTTTCAACAGAGAAACGTTCTGTAAACACAGCTGGTTTGGGCTGATCACCAGAGGGTAGATAAATGTTAACAACATTGTGGGCTGCATAAGTGACGACTTACTGGGGATGAATTCACAGTAGACACTAGATGAGATTAAAGTGAACAATATGGGGAGCTTAAAGTCCAAAACAGAAGTATTATATTAACTAGTTCAAATGTCCAGTTTATGAAAACCAAACATGGTTCTAGTGATGAAAAGATTTGGTTTCTGTAGCAAATTTATAAAATGTTTCCAAGCTCTTTATTCTCTCCTACTGCCAGAATAAAAATTAACGGTAGTCTCTCCAATACCATATTTTTAGAACGTGGATGCAGGCAGGGGTGCCCAGCAAGTCCCTATCTCTTCAATTTGTTTATCGAACCCCTAGCCCAGGCTATACGTCAGGAAACATCGTTGAAAGGGATTGTAATAGGAGGGGAGGAGTACAAGGTATGCCTATACGCAGAGGATGTCTTGGTAACAATCACAGATCCCAGCTCAGGTGTACCAGTATTAACCCTTTAAAACCGGTCAGAGCGGGCACGCTCCGTTTTGCGTAACTATCTTTAAATCCCGGTAGCTCTGCAACCACCTGAGCT